TATACATAATTAATGTAATCAAGGAAAAGAATAGGACCTTCACATTGAAAATTGCTTGCTTTTTTATAGGATAATTACAATATATTCTATTTTTTAACTGCAGGAAATACGCTTTAAGCCTCTGAACCACATTTGGCTCATGGGTGTTCAGAATCCCTCTTTGTTAAGGTAGATGCTGGTTACGGCGCGCTCGATGGACGAAGGTTGAGTGCTATGCTAATTATTTTTAAAATGTTGGCACTAATTTTAATAATGATCTTCCTTATACTAAATCATTTGTTAAATAACAATAAGAAGACGACGAAGAAGCAGAACCAGAAGTGATATTTGTATAGCGCGCAACATGAAATCTACCAGAAATCATTCGCAGTCTCGACATTTTTATCAATATCCACTCATAACTCCTCTCATATATATTTTTACTGCCTATTGCTCTTTGTTTAGTTTATTTAATTTTATCTTTAATTTTCAAAATAATAATAAATAATAAGAGTAATAAATAATAGGGACCTAATACTAATCCGGTCATTAGCTTTTTGCTAATATTGTATGTTTACAATGTAATGTTTACAATGTATTGTAATGTTTACAATGTAAATTGTAGGCATAGGTGCGAAGTTCAAGTTTTCTTATGATACAGTGTCCAAAAACCTCATGCTATTCTATGAGAAATTGATATTAATCCATTTTTACTTTATAATGTGTAATTAGTGAGTTCAGCAAGACCGTATTTTTATTAATGTTGAATGAGGTTGTACATATTTCGTAGTGCTGACATTTTAATGGGTGAGTACTCCTCTTTTAAAGCGTGGCTGTCATGTTGGTGTTTTTGTCCACAAAAATGATTGTTAAATTTTTATAATACGCCAATTAATATCGATCAAAATGTAGAAGTATAATTTAAATTAAACTTTATTCAATGATATGGGAGAAGGTAATTGATTAGAAAACATCTGGACACAAAAATTATAACCGATTAAGGACAATTAGGCCTAATCGGGACATTGATATCAACAACTGAACGCCCATGGCACTGATAGCATGATTGATTGCACGTGCGATGTCCAGACCGTCTACTGATTTGTGGTATAGGCCTAGTTGTTGGTATGGTAAAATTATTACACTCCTTTACCAAACTTATTTCCCGGGAACCCATCTTCAATCAGTCTTGTATCGGATATCACCTTGTGAGAAACAAAATTTTCCTTCTAAGATATCGAAATAATTGCTTGTCCAAAATTTAGGCCTACTATTTTTTTAAAGCACTGCTCAATTGCATTATTATTTAAATCAATATTTTCATTGGATTTAGGAGCCCAGAGAGGGACACTAAAATGGAGAGAGTCCATCTACATCAGCCCCACCATGAATTGTTTATTTTTTAACTTTAGACATAAGCACCTCTATGACCGAAATAGCACCCTCAGTGTTGGATTTTTTTGTTCTTTTTTATTGGCGACTCACTGGCAAATATTGGCTACCCAAATATGAGTTGTGACAGTTTGGGAAGCGTCGATTTGATAATTGCTATAGGCCTAATTTTCAAACGATTTTATCAGATATCAAAAATATGTATCTTACCTATTTAATGCGATTGCCATAATATTCCATAATGAACAAATACAGCTTACAACAACAAGAGCTCCAAGTAATTCGCATGCAATTTTATAATTTCTGTAAAATTTGCCTCTAGTTAAATATCCAATTATATATCCGCTACCACAAATAGTAGCAACGAATAAATCGGCAATAGCTAAGTTTAAAATAAAAACATTGCATTTAGTCCGAAGCGATTTACAAACAACAACAGCTGTAATGATGAGAATGTTGCCGACAGTTCCAAAAGTTAATATTAATACTAGACATATCACGTAAAGCATCTCAACAGTATCGAGATCGAGATCGTCGTCTGTCGTATTATTCCCCATCGTACTTGACAGGACTTGACTTCCTACCATTGCATCACTCATTTGATGTGCCCAGGTATAAATGCACGTTTATATCGTTGACTAAATCAAACGCTTGGTGGCAGTATATATTGAGCCCTACCTCACGCTGAGCTTTGACTTTACACACTTTGAAAATATGGATTATTGGAACACGCATTGTTTCACAAAACACTAGACATTGCATAACAATGGTTCCCCATGTTTTGATGTAACAGTGTTGGTACCGTCGTGGTGTATTAACACTCAAGTGAGGAAGGGGTGTTCGGAAGGAGTGTTAAGGCTCGATCACGTATGGGGTAAATGGGAATGTGGGACATGGGTTCGGTATATTATGAGCGGTCGGCACCGTGTTTTCCAATTGGGTTCTTAACTTTGGGAGGGGGGGGGGGCGAACTTTTCGCTGTATGCTTCATTTTGCTTCCCCCTGGGAAAGGAACTTTACCTGCGATTGTGTTGCTCCTGCTCTCAATCAATGAAGAATACCGTAAGTGGTGGTAGGTTAAAACGCAAATTTACTGATTTCTAACTGCAACATGTTTGGATTCTCACCAAAGGTCTGTGTAGCATACCTATGGGTTATACAATTTTAAGCACATCGTTGGCATGATGCACTGTCATCATCACCCTCATCATCATAATCATCATCATCATTATCATTATCACCATCACCATCATTATCACAATCATTTTCATTGTAATCACTATCACAAAACCAGGTGTGAAAAAATGGAAACATTAAATAATGTTGAAATACTGTATAGGAAAAAGAATTTTATTGAATAACATTTTAGCATTATAAGCTAATAAAATATACAATGGAAGTATAATTAAAACGACCATATATATATATTAATAGGCATATATCGGGGCGAATTAACTACATGAGCATGCAATTGGGAAGGGAGTGAATTAACTAAATGAACCTCACTACAATTTATACATCTACGATACAATCTAGTATTTTAATAGTGTTAGTAAATAGGCTTTAAAATTAAGAAAATTTACTGGCAAATGCCAATGACATTGTATATTGAGAATTGGATATGACAGCCAGCATATTAAGGTAAATTTAGGAAGTCTACAAAATTATTGAATTTATATACGAATTTCGGTCGACGTGTAGGAGAATATATATTAATTAGAAAATATCTTAAATTACAAATATTACAGAACAATTAAAAATTAAAAATGTCTATTGCAATCAAAGTAAGCAGAGATTGAATTATACAGTACGGTAAAAAAAAGTAAAATTCTCCCATTTCAACGATTTATTTCACTGGCATTTTGCCAACAGTTTGCCGAGATTATTTAGACAGGAAATAAGAGACAGTCTAAATTGCAAGTTGCGTATAATTAAATTGATACCGTGATGTTTAATGATTGAGATCAAATTACAGATATTTTTGAAGTACAAATGAAGCGTTTGATAAATATATTACATGTCAAATAACACAAATACATGTATAAATATATATAATAGCAGCTTCCTAAATTTATTACAACAAAAAATATAAGAACAGGCCTATATTAGGAATTGTATGCATTTTATAATAGATAAATTTGAAACGAGCACTGAGAGGAAGACGACCCTCGTTCAGCAGTGTAGTATTTATGAAAAGAAATACATAAAATAACAAAAATAGGCCATTTAAACAATTAAAAGTTATAGCATTTGAACAGTGTAATATAGGTTAATATAAGGTTAAAGGAATTTATAAAAAAAATAATAAATAAAAATGTTTATAGAGTGTTGTTATAGTAGATAAGATGCTTAGGAATACAATGTTGGTTTCATATATACTAAAAACAAATACAATAAATTGAATGAGTGAGCAGGGACCCAAAAGCGAACTTAATCACTATTAAAAACAATAGTGATTAAATTAGTTTAAGGACCTTTAACTGTATTGTGGTTAACTGGAGTAAGTGAATTGTATAAGAATTATGAACAGTGCCATTATTCACAATTAATATTTAAATATTCATAAGCTGGCCTTTTGTGAGAACTTATAGCCAATGAGCAGCCACAATATAATGTTCTGTGAAAGAGGGCGCACTGTGCCACAAGACTTTTCTTTGATGACTTGTTGAAGATTATTTTGCTTAAAATCCACCAAATAACGAACATTAAAGGTTAGTTAGACTCAAAGTCGAAGCCTTTTAATTACGGCCTTCTCATAATTTAGTTAGTGATTTATTTTATTGTGACCGGGCTGTAAACCACTACTGCCCAGAAGTTCGTTTACGTTCTGTGATATATGACATGACAAAATGAAATAAAATTTAGATTGCTCTTTAAATATAGTGCCGCTATCAAAGTGTATTGACATTGTAAGGCGGATCGCATGGAAGGGTGAATATACAGTAAGGATGTTCACCTCACACCTTATCATTAAGCTTGAAAAAAAAAGTTATTCCTTTACTATAGATTTCAATTGAAACTTAGAACGACAAATATGTTTGTCTTGAGAATAATATATCTAATATAGGCCATTCCTAGTAATAGTATTTTTACACGCCTAATTAAGTAGGCCCACACAAATTTCTTTCAACATGAATTTTTGTAGTAAATCGTCTGTAAATAATTAAAATTGATTTTTTAAAACTACGATTATTAAAAAAAGTATAGCTTGTGGTTCTTTTAAATAAGCAATCCATGTTTTTCTTAATTTAGGTGACAGTTTTAAAGGTCATTGTGTTAATCTAGAGAGCGCCCCCAATAAATACGTCAGGTAACTAAAAAAAACAACACAAAACCCCCCCCCCCCCAAAAAAAACACATATAGGTGAGTCAACCATCATAACAATTGCAAATTTATAATAAGAAACATTAAATGTCCATGAAGTCTGCAAAACCACGACTTTTTGGGATTGTTGCTATGGATTAGTAGGACTATGTTCCCTAAATTCCTAGGCCTATCTTAAGATAAAATTTTCGAGACTAAAATTACGCATCGACAAAAAGCATGAATGCTCATTAAAAAGCGGGAAAAACAAGAAGAAAATAATACACAATTTAACGGATACAATAAATCATTAGCAGACTACATGGACTTCATATATATCAACAGCATGAACTCAGTCCATTAGTATAATTTAGCTTATTTTGATTTATTGTGAAGCGACGTTGTTACACACTACTGATAACTTGATAGATTATAATACAATCACGGCAAAGGCAGTTAATAGACTTGCCATAAAAATTATTTGAAAGCAGACTATAGATAGCACGTTTACAGTTTTATATTTCCACGGGGTTGCACCTTAGTGGCAATGTATTCAACCGACAAGGATGTAGAACAAGAAATTTATACTGACTAAATCACCCCTCCCCATAAAAAAAAGACTTCATACGCAAATTTGATGACGCTCATGTATGAAATGAGCTGATTCCAATATAGTCCTACAGATAAATTAATGGTAGGCCTATATCTAAAAAAAAAAACACTTTAGAATTCTACGAACTTAATGCACTCCTTATAAGTTTGATTTAAACTATCCCACCGCACTTAATCCAAAAGTACCATGACAAAGATCATTGGAATAAATGTTGACCGCAAAGAAAAAAAAAAATATGTGGAGAAAAAAAAATGCTAGCGACTTTGTGATAATAATAATGAAATAATATATGTGTGTGTAAATAATTAAAACTTTAATAAAAACATCAACAAATTAATCGCATACAAATAGATCCTGTAAATATTTTAAGGACTGTGTTGCGTCTGATAGGCCCTCCATGGTCAATCTGAAATTTAAAGGTGGGGGTTTGGCGACATTCTCATCAAACACGTCTGCAATGTTATTTAGTCAGAAATCAATAAATACGTAGATGGTTCTACAAAAAAACAAAACAAAAATGTTTCTTTCAATAACATTTTTTCTCTTTTGTGGTGCACCACCACTTTTATTTCATATATGTATATATTTCATCATGATCTTTCTCTAATACGGTATGTTTCGTTTTAATACATGGCAATAACAGTAATAATCTATAATTCTACGAATTATCATTCCTTAACTCCTAATTTTGTTTTTCTTTTCGGGTTCAACACTTGTTAATCTTTTTTCGTTGTTTTCTTAATTCGTATTCTCTCATGTGGTAATCAACCACCTTTATCAATTATTTAATTGACGAGTTATCACAAAATATTCACCATTTTTAGTAACGATTATCATTGTGTACTCCGTTGTTATTCTCCTTTTTTTTTCTTGGTTTTCTCAATATATTTTAAACTTTTATACCAAATAATTTGAAATAATAATATACAAATGAAAGATGTTGTAATATGATTGTAATATCGTAACATCCTCTTTCGTTCTTTTTAGTTTTTTTTTTTTTAGTTTTTGTTAGTTTTTTTTTCATTTCAAACTTTTAAATAAAATAGTTTAAATATAATTGAATTTCTAAATATACAATGCATTAAAATATCAGTTTTATGTACCGTAAGCGTTATAAAAAACCTAATGCTTTCAGATTTTTTGCATTAGTCTTGAACATAATCCAAGGATTTTTGCACGCAGGCTTATTCAACTCAGTTAAAATTTTTATCTTATAGATAGAAAAAACAGCAATTGAATATATTCTTAAATGCACAGTTACAACCGAGAAGAAGTTTTTTAACATTGTTATATCGTTAAAAAAAACTTTATGAAACTTAAAATTGTTACCTGGGTTATTTCAATTGAGATTACAACGACGCATAAATATAAGAATACCCTTTTTCTAGGCCCTATATCCTTCAATCCATGTTGCAGAGAAATATCGCTTCTCTACCACCTCCCACTCTCTAAAAAAAATGGAATCCCCCTCTTACTCTCTCAAAAAAAAAGAAATCCCCATGATGATGATGACGCCGCCGCCGCACGCCGTTTGGGAAATAGTGAGATTTCATTGGTTAGAAGTTTAGTTCCGACGACATTCGATCGTCTGCGCTGCTACTGCGCCCTCTTTCGATATTTTCGGCGACGAGAAGAAGGAGGGAAGAAACGCAAAACCAAGACTCGCTCGCGATCGACCGCGGCGAAGGGAGGTTGGACTTTCATTTCGGTCAGTTTAAAACTATTTCTGTGCTGATTTATCTTCATAGTAATCTTAAAGTTAGGCTACCCTAGACCTACGGCCTAGGCTAGGCTAGGCTAGGCCTAGCCCTCCTCCCCCTCCTAGGCTAGCGAGAGGCCTAGATAGGCCTTAGGCTAGGAGGCCCTACTACTAGGCTACCTATAGGCTAGGGCCTAGGCCTATGTAGTAGTGGCCTAGGCCTTGCCTAGTCTAGTACTTAGTCGGAGCCAACATTAACAAGAAGGTCCGGTGTAGGCCTAGGCCTAATGCAGATCCAAGATAGCCTAGGGCCCTAGGCCCTGGCTAGACCAGGCCTAGCTAGGCCCCTGGCTAGGCCTAGCCTAGGGAATTTTTTTTATCCTGCAGGTGGGTAGGGCCTAGACCTAGGCCTAGCCTAGGGCTATCCATGTGCCTAAACTTCAAATTTGGCTGGAGACTTGTCTGTGGCAGTCATAGTGCAGCGCTAGTAGTAACAACATGTAATGGATTATTGTCCCTTATCCCACTGGCACCGTCTAATTCTAGGCCTAACAATTTCCTGCTCTATGTAGCCTAAAGGTTATTTTGAAGCTGTAGCCCGGTAGACTGGGGTCTTCAATCCAAGATTCCATACACCAATAATAATGAGAAATGACGATCCTTTCTCTATTTAAGGTTTTGATTCCAGAAATAGAAAAGATGTTGCAGTCTTCTAGTAGGACTGTGGTGGAATCTGACAGTGTGCCTTTTTTCAAGACTCAAATGAGTCCTTCTTCAACCATGATCTCCAGCCAGCAATCCAGTTTCTTTACGCTCAACTCAAAAGAACATGTTGCTACCTCAGCTACTTCATCTATATTTCAGGTAGATGCAAGAGAAAATATCAATTTGTATTATAAAGTAATTATAAATTATACTCTCTGTTTTTCTGACCATTCAATGTTCATCATGTTTATATTTTGCACATTCTACATTCTCGTTTGATTTTGTAATCAACAGCAAGAAACGCCATTAATCCAAGCAAACACACAGAATAGCCAGCATATTCAACACTCAAGACAGCCTACTCTTAGGCATAATGCTAGGCAACAACAGCAGAAGCATGGAACTGTCGAAGAGTCATCAGAGAAGCTTGGTTCCCTTCACTCGAAACTCCACCAAGAAGCCGACAAGATACGTAAATGGAAAGTAGACATTGAAATGGATGTAAAGTACAAGGAAAGAAAACTGACCGAGTGTCAACAAACTATTGAGTCACAAAGAAAATCCATCCTTGAATTGCAGGTTTGACATTTTATCAATGTAGAATGCATGTTGGTGCTGGTGAGGAGTACTGTATGTGCTTTTTTAAAAAATTCTTAATCCTTTGGAGCATGTACCTGATCAGTAGCAAAATATTATTCTCAATGACCCAGCATGCTGCTTGCAAGACAAATTACAGTATAAGAATACTTTGGTAAAACATACATTATATTTACAGATAAAAGACATTACAGAGTAAAATTTTTAAAAAGCAGGTGCACAGGAAATATCTTTTACCAAAATTATGAATTCTACAAATATAAACCAGGTTAAGATCTGATAAAAGATATTGATTTACTAATTGTTTAAATATTTTAAATACATACTGAAAACAATAAAAAAAAAAATTCAAATTTTAGCAAAAGTAATTATACTAATAAAATGCACCTTTAGATGACATAATAATAATGAAGTAAATGAAGTAATAAATAGGTTAATATGGCAAATAAAAGATAGCAAAATAATGAAAGAATAAATATATTTTAAAAATGCTGAGAACAGTCTTCAATTCTTTTACATGAATGCTATAGTATATCAAACAAACTGTGCATAATATTAGGGATGGACAAAAATTAATGCATAACATGAATGAATGGTTTCATTTTCTGCAAGCAAGATATAAATCACATAATTAATGTCTCATTATTATTTTTTCAGCTTCAGAATGAAAACCTAAGTCAGAAGTTACAACTTGAAATTGATAACCAATGTGATATTAGTCAAAAGTAAGTCTTTAAGTGCTGTGTTCCTTTAGAGCAGTACTAAACTCGCATGTTATTATCTATTACTATAGGATTAGTATGTGAATGATATCACAATATAATTTCTAAATGCTTAGAATATAAGTTTTTAATGTATTTATCTTTAAGAATTGAGTCTACCCGCAGTATGTGCAATATACTAAAAGATTACACTAACAAAGTTGAAGAAAGGCTATCACTTTGTGAGAAGGATAAAGCTGTGCTGCAGTTACAAGAACAAGAGCGAATGGAACAATGCGAAGTAAGAGTCACTATGATTTTATCTATTAAATATTTAATGAGGTAATGATAATATTAATTGTTTCTAATTTTCATTTAATCTTTAAGAAATTAAATTATAGGAGCGGTTTGGCGCCGCGCTTGCGGCTCTGCATCTCAAGCTTGAGGTCGGAGGTTTATTCCCTTGCTGTGTATTTTGCTTGTGTCCTTAGGCAATGAACTTTGCCTACTGTACCTATAGTAATTGTCTCTCTCCACCCAGGAGTACAAATGAGTACCTGGTAGGTTCAAGCACAAATGCACTGATTACAGCTGTAACATTATGGAATTCTCCCCAGTGAGCTGAGTATGTGTTCCGTATGTGCTTGATCCAATAACAGGGGTAATATTAATAATGTGAAGCACTTAAAGGCCTTGTTGTCATTAATCTACGTCATTTTTACATAGACATATACTTATTCATTTATTTCATTTGTATTTGATTTCTCTAAAGGATTTGGAAGAGCGATTTAAAAGTTTAAGCCTTGTACATGTTGATAAAGTCAATAATCTGAATATTCAATGTAAGTGTGATTTTAGATAATTACAATACAATTATAATAAAACATTCATTGTATTATTTACTATTAAATAATTAAATAACCAATGTCGTGTGATATTAATCTGCCAATCAAAAGTTATTTTTGCAAATTATTAACTTTGCTTTTTTTTTATTAGTGGAACTAGAAGAAAAGCAGCACACAGATGCCATTGAAAAGTATCAAGAAAAATTAGAAGATTTAGACAATGAAGTAAGTACAGAAACTGGCTGCATTTGTTCTCATTTTATATTTAATGCCCCAGTTAACTAGTTAAAATGATCAGTCATAAAAAGCAGAAAAAAAACAAAGCATATGGGTTGAACTTTATCATTTATAAATGTCATAGGCAATTACAATACAACTAATCAGTGTTTATACCACAATTTTACATAATATCTGCTGTATTGAAATCAAATAGTAGTATGATGTTTTATCTGAGCCTTCTTCAATTGTTTAGTCGTAGTCGAAGTGACAGGTTAAAAAATAATACATTTGTCATTAATGTATTCGTTACTGTATTTTGTATTATGCAATCCCTTGGGAAAAAGCTATGTTCTAATGGGAAACTCCAAGGGAGTACCAGCTTGTTGGCCTAATTGCTCAGTTGGTGGAGCATTAAACAGTAATAGGAGGGGCTTGAGTTGAATCTTGATGTGGAGAATTTTGTATTATTTTGTCTTCAATCTAATCGGAAATTTGAACTGGGCCCCAGTGGGCCTGTGGCAACCGCAGTGCTGCGCCATCTGACTTAACTACAGCTAACAGACTCAACCGGACTCCAATTAAAACCTGACATTGACTGGGTTTGAGCCAGGGTCTTAGCACAAGAAGCAGGAACAATACAGGCTGTCAGCCAACTGCTCAGTTTCTATATTTATTGTATTACTAGTCAAATATTTATTATATTACTACTTTCCTTTTTATTTTTGTTCTAAATCTGCTACTAAATATCAATTTATCATTTGAATTTATTAAACAGATAAAGGTGCTGTCAAATAATTGTGAAGAAAAGAATAACATGATTGATGTTCTGAATGAGAAGGTGAATGAGAGACAACTTACCATAATTGATGTACAAACAGAAAAGGGTAAGTAAAGTGCACAAGCATACAGTTAGCAGTTTCACGAAATCAAGTACATTATGACTAGTGATTTTATTAAGCTTTCATAAGCAGATAAGTATCTAGTAGAGAATCAATCAATTGATATGTATTCATTTAAAAACTTGAACAAGCACATAATTTGTGTTCAATATTTCAAAAGTTGAACAGACACAAATTATGAATTTTAATTTTGTTAGTCTATTTCAAGAATATATGTAAACCAAATATAGCCAATGTTCACTTCTAGAACACCCCTCAAAAAGGATAAATTATCCCAGTGCATTGTACAATTATGCCCAAAACCTTAATTCCTTTTTGTTGAGATCACAAAAAAGCTACACCTTTAAAGAAAGTGTTGATTTGATGATTTAAAAAAAATTGCACTCGTTCATGGTTCAGGAGGTTGAACAAGTCTTCTTGGATAAGGACTATACAATTGGCTCATGTTCACTATAAAGAACAAAGTACATCTTTCGAGACGAGTAGGGGAATACCCCGGTGTACTGGTCCATCTCACAGCCACAGTCACTGTGGACTACAGACTGTGCATGACATGACGGGACATTTATGGAAGAAGAAAGTTGTAAGAATGAGTAGTCCACTTCCGTCTCGGGCTGAAGCGTTCAAATTTAATGTTAGCCCTTTTAATCAAGGAAGAAGAAGAGGAATTGACAAATAAAAGTAATTTGTGTAATTTTCAGAATCATTACAGAAAATGTTATCTGAGGCAAAATCTGAACTTGCAACTAAAGTTCAGCAAGTCGAAATCTTAACATTGAATATGCAAGAAAGCCAGAAGCAGAAGGAAGAACTTATTTTTGAAAAGGTAAAAGATAAAAATATTTATAGTATACTGTATGATACTTTACTTTCATCTTCAAAATATCAGTAGTAATATGTGGCTTTTTTTATTGATTTTTTTTCATTTTATTCCTTGCAGTAATGACACATTATGAACATAAAAACAAGTTAAGGACTGCAGAGAGAAAAACTCATGCTATCATGTCTCCTTAACTACTGCTTTCATACATTAAATATTTAAAAAAATATAAAATTAATTGAACCCAATATTGCACAATACTCATATATAAGAGACAAACAAGTGCCATTTAAAATCCTAATTTGTTGTCACTGTACATGCTTCTACAATAATGCAGAATGATATAGAGAGGCATTAAATGTAGAGGCAATAGTAATAACATATTCATATCAGAGTAGTATGAAATTGACACTAATGGGTTGATTAATGTTGTAGAAATTTTATGGGCATTAATAACCTAAATAAATTGATACAATTTGAGTGCTTAATATGTCCTTTCCAATCTGAAATCCAAGCTAGATCAATATGTTATAGTCATCTTGATGCCATTTAGATTCACATGAGATTTATTTATTACATGATTGTAGCTATGCTAAATGCTACAAAGTAACAAATCAACACTTTTTATCTTAATTTTAGTGATTTAATATTTAATTTCAGACTAAAATTGAGGATGATGTAAGAGATTTACAAGAAAGAGAAGCAGAACTGTCCAACACAATCAGAGAACTTTCAGGAAACTTGGAAACGGAAGGCAAAAAAAACAGCTTACTTGAGGAGAACAGTGCTGCTATAAAAACTGAGATGACCAAAGAGAAAGTAGGTTACATAGATAGATTGTACATTTAAGGTTGAGAGGCAGAAGTAGAAAACAGTGTATTTGGTTACAAAGCATTTGATCACTTGCAATCACGTGTTTTGTCAAACTCATATGCTTGTATAATTACATGTACTAAAACTTGAGTTTCTTTTTTGCAGATCAAGCTTGAGGAAGAAATCAGCAGACTTAATGAAGAACTCAAAAAAGCTAATAATGAAAAGCAGCAGAATATTTTGACTATTGAGAAATACAGAGAAGAGCAGCTCATCCTTGAGGTTCGGGGCTCCATTATAATGCTGCTGTTCATTTTATGTCAAAATGTATAAACAGGTCTTTCTCCAACTAAAGACAACTTTTGGGACCAGGTTTCCATGGTCTTTGGTCTCTAATTAATATGATAAAAGATAAAAGAAACATGTTAATTTGGGACCACAGAAAAGTGTCTTTAATTTGAGGTGATCTTTAAATGGAGGTAGTTATAACTAGAGGGAGACCTGTCTTGTCTAAATATGTAAATGAATAGTTTTATTACATGATTTTTTTGTGATTGGATTTTGATGGTCAACCAATATATGAAAGATTATTATCACAATTGTTTAGTTGGAAAACACTAATAAATTTAAAATGTTTTTTTTTGTTCTGTAGAAGAAAATATTGAATGCCAATGATGAGGGTCAGGATCTTATAAGACAAAAGGAGAAGCTACAAGTAGAAATTCAAGAATGCAGGCAAGCAATAGAAAAGAAGGAGGTAATAATACCTACTGGTTTACTTAATTTCTACTTCAAAATGAATCAACACATTATTTTCCTGTTTCTATATTCTTTTTATTGGCCTTTAAATTGGCTGGTTTTTGCTTCAATAGCGTTTTTTTTTATCATATTCATGATGCTTTCTTCAGCCTTAAAGTGGCAGGTAAATTCATTGTCACATGATTTTTGTGCAATGATGATAAGAGGCTATAATTGTATATTGGTGATAGCTCTGAATGACAGAGTTTGAAAGTGATTTCCATGCTATTAATAGTAATTTTATTGAATAAATTCATTATATCCGATAACAAGTTATTTGATCATCAAAAAAGGACCTTATACTTATACTAAATAGTAATTTTACCTAATATAATTTCAAATGAGATTTTCTGCTTGATATTATTATGATATTTATTTAAAGTAAGTCATTTCTTTTATTTCATAGATAGAATTATGTAGCGGTACCAAAGAACTTAAAGATGCTTTGGAAAGAGAGAAAGTATCTTATGATAGAATTGATTCACTGAAGAAGGAACTTGAACAAATAAGGTAATTATATAAGAAAAAACAGTATTTTTAACTTAACAGGATGTGTCAGTCTATCGATCAAATTTTGCCATATATTTCTAATGATTGATTGATTGATCCTTATTGTTGAATACTGCCTTCCAATACCCAATGAAATGGCGCCACATAAAACCCATCAACTCTTGATCAATTGCCCGATCAAATACTTAACCAATCAATCATTCAAACAATTAGTCAGTTATTAAAATGGTTCTTTGGTTGCTGAATTAAAAAAAAAATTTATCTATATATTTAAAGTATTTGTTATATTATTTTGCCTTGTTAAGTCGGGATCCGCTCCTGCTGCCAGTCTGCCGTCAATGGTGATGATTTTGTATTGAATTAGTTTATAGTAAATAGAAAGAAGTATAAAGGCATCATCCAACAGTAACTTCTATCATCAAAGTTCATTCTACAATGCACCATTTTCAGAAATCAATGGAAATGGTGATTGGTATTGATTTAGCATATTCTGGTAGAATTGAAAGACAGTTCATTCTACAGTCTTTGAATACATTTTTTGTGATGGTCTGTTAGAGGAGGTAGTATAAAATATACATTACAAAATAAATAATTTGAAGGTAAATTGGCATATTTATAACACATTTAAATAATTGTCCTGTTATTAATTTTAAAAAAAGATTTTTCTTTAATTATTACCTTAGCACGGAAAAGAGTGTATTAGATTCCTCACTTAACACATTGAAAGATGAGAGAGAAGATTTGGAGGCTAAATTGAAGGCAGAAATTCAGCTAACAGCTGAATTAGAAAATAATATTGCGGTAAGTGTATCAAACTTAAGTTAAATATTTGGAACGGAATTCATTAAGTCATCATCATTTTCACTTATGCTCTTTTTTCTGACTCACTCAACTAAATTTCCCCAAAATTTTCTGTCATAAGCTGAGTTTCAATAAGAGTACTGTACTGTATAGTATTTAAATTAATCTTACTGGTTGGTTCTTTTTTAATGTCATTGTAAGTGGTCAATGTAATACGCTAAGTTGCTAATTCAATTGAGAACATGATATAAAACTTAAAATTTGGTATATAGTTATTAGAGTGGTTTTTTTTTAGGTGACAGGTTTTCAAGTTATAGTATTAATTTTATACATTTATTTTTTGGATTATTTCTGATATATTCCTTCACAGGACCTTGAAAGAAGTAAGAAAAAATCAGAGAAAAACCTCAAAGCAGCTCTTAAAGAATCAGATGAATTGAGAGAAAACGTATCAAATCTGGATACAAGCATTCATGAACACTCCAAGACAAATGAAAAGCTACAGGAGCAGACAAGCTTGGTAAGAAGCATCATTAGTTTATAGGTGTATTCAAAGAAATTGAATATAACAGTGTCCTGGCAAATATGTAAGGTATCCCAACCCCCAAATTTCGCCACTGATCTGTTAATGATCTTTCTTATAATTAATTTTAAACCAGAAATTAAAATGCTCAGAATTGCAGTTTTAAAAGTCAATTTATTACTGAATGACTTTTCATCATATTGAGTCTGACCAAGATTGATTAAGACCTGACAGAATGAATAATAAATTAAACAGTATATTATATGATTATTGTAAAGCTGGGTGTGGCTGTTGAAAACTAAATAATTTAATATACATCTAGATGTCAGATATTTTCTCAAATTGTTGATTTAAAGAATTTATTTTGTTGTGTTCACCTAAGAATAAAGCTCTACAGTCAGAACTTGATTCTACTAGCAAGCAAATCAAGATTCTAGAAAAGAAGAATGAAACACTAGAAAATCAACTAGCTACTAAATCTAAACAAGTAAAAAACTTGCAACAAGAGACAAAAACACTCAAGAGCAAGGTCACATCTCAAACTAAACAAAGTAACTCTTTAGAGAAGAAAGTAAGTAGACTTTACTGTAGTGGTGGAGCCATTTGGGGAACTGTAAAGTGAGGGACTGGGCAAAGACAAAGTGACAAATTCCTAATTTCTACAGATTATAAGACCTTTCAAGAGGTTGTGGATAGTCCTTGGCCCTGTCCACATAGTCTCTTGGAAACAGGTGCTTATAAAATGATTTGTTTGAATGGGACTTATTTAGACGGATTGTTTATGGTAACTATTGAAAATTTAGGGGATAGGTGATTATTTAAACCAGAAAATTGTTTTCCTATTTTGATTTTGCTTCACAATCTAATAAATTAAAAAAAAACATAATTTCTCTGCAGTCTCTGCTTGAGCTTATCTCAATTGGACATTTGCTCAAAGAAGGCACTTATTTTCCAGATTGCAGTAAGAATTTATGGCAGTGAATTTTCAAAAATAACATCCATTAAAAAAAATGAATAAGTGCGTATACAAACATTTATTCAAAATTGTGGATTTTAATAATAGAAATAACAGTAGAAAAACATTGTTTTTTGCAGATTTCAACTACAGAGGAGACCTGTGAGAAATACCATGTTGAAAATGAAGACCTCCTTAGAAAGGTCAATGTCCAGTTTTTTTGTTTTTTGTTTTTTTTAAAATAATTATAATACAAAGTTTTAGTGTTTTATAAATGATTAAGAGTATATGTCAGTTTAGTAAGTGCAGTATTTGGTTGTATGTCATATTGTTTTACTAATACATCATTGGCCTGTATACAGATTTCAGAAATAGAGAAAATACTGCAAGAAAAAGAAGAGATGATAGAAGCTACTAAAGTCAAGCATAATGAATTAGAAGCAAAAATGCAACAAACGATTCAAGAACATACAGAAGCGAAAATGAGTTGTGAAAAGGAAAGAGCTGAAGTCAGTAACACATTGATAGTGTATAAGGTACAGTCAAAGCTCTAGAGGCAGTATATTGGAATATGTGCTATATAAATATTGCATTTATTACTGTTTAACTAACATCACATAGATATCATTGGAATTACAAATTTTTACAACATTGACGTAAAAGTACGTATTTTTAAATATAAAAATATGGTTTTCATTTTTTTAATGATTCAATAATAGATTACACTCAATTCTTTAATAAACTGCTTTCTTGAAAAATATATATATATTTGAAATAGTAATTTTACCAGTTCCCTTTTATAAATTTAGATGGAAAATGAAAATATAGTTTCAAGGAAAGATAAAGAAATAGAGAAACTACACAAGGAGATAACCTTACTGACAAAGGCAAAAAACGATCAGGTAATTCCTTCTTTAATTCCCAGTTCTTGATTTCATCAAGAAAGATGATGTATCGTCAGTGAATAGCACGATCATCATTAACTAAGGCGGATACAATTCAGCATCTTTCTATTTTCAATGAATGTTTATTAATAACGAGCTCATTCATTCTGATTACTCTCTAAAATTCCTTCATCACCTTTAGTTACAAAATGTAGGGTTGTATTAAGTTCAGTATTTGTGCTTATATCTTTCATGGAAATCAGCTTCTTCAAATTGCAAAGAAATCCTAATGAATGTTATAAGTTGTCCTTTTTATAATCCTATCAATGATATTTAAGCCTACAGCTGATGAATGGATATACAAGTCACGTAGTATGCAGTGTCCTTGGTGGCTAGAATCCTTAATAATGACTTCTACAAGGATGCCATGGATGTATACTATTATTAGTTCAATACTAATCCATTGTAAAATATTAGTGACAGTACCACTTGGCTAGTCGAGTGGTCGAGCAGTAAGGCAGGGGCACAGCTAATACAGCTATAACATTTGCACTGATTTGAGATTCACCTCGCGCAGGACTTAGTTGAATCAGGTCTTCTCGGATAAGGACATAAATGGAGTCCAGTGTACACATCTTGTACGTGTGAACTTTAAAGAACCCATTGTACCTTTTGGAAGAGTAGGGGGTTGTTGTGATATTCTGGTTCATTTCAGTCCCATGTCATTGTGAAATGATTGAAAATGACAATGAAGCTGCTAAGCACCTCTAGGCACGAAACTACGCCTCTATGCAATTCAGCACAGTGACGCTGCGAGTTACGGGTTTTTCTCTGACATTTAATAATATTGATACATTATACATGCTTGCTAAACCAACATCAAAGAAGAGTCCTCAACACTTGTATATTGTTTTAAAGGCTACTTCTTTAACTTTATTTACAAATGTGCTACTTTTACCATGTGTTTTTCCTCTTGCAAGAAGGATAAAAATCTCATATCATCGTGTGTGTTTTAAGACAATACCATTTTGTGATTCTGGTAATGGTATAAAAATTTGATATATATCTTTTCTTATCTAACTAAAATCTCAAAGCGCTTTACGTTGTTCCCTCTCTGAATATTCCAAGTCGTGCCATACAGATATTTGTAAAAGTGTACCAGTGTGTGGAATCACATCCACTACCATGCATCACACCTCGATATTTATGCTGCACAAATAGTAACAGAAACAAATAGGTTTATATAGCACAAATCTAACAAGGTTAATTTGCACTCAAAAAATAGTAGAAAATGAAGAAAAAAAATTGAAAGCTAAAGAAAATTAAATATGGAAAATACACCAAGCATGCAAGTATGGAGTTATACACTGTCCCACCAACCGGAGATCTTTGTGTATGTATCCAAGTTGGCATCAATTAGAGTAAGTCTAGATTTTTTTCTGGGTAGAAGGAAATATCAGTGTTGCTCTCACAATGCTTTCCTTACTATTGCATTTGACGTCATACTTAAGTTTGAGCCCACGCCAAATGCCTGTAAAGTAATACTATGATCAGTAAAAATATTACAGTATTAGATTGCACCCCAGGTTCTGACTATGTAATTACAGGTTTCACAAATTAGCCTTTATGCTTTTTATTTTAGTTATCAAGCCTGCAAAATTCATTCAAAGAACAAAAACAGGAATTGGAGAAAGTTTCTAAAGATTACAACAATGCTTTGAAGGAATCGGAAAATGACAAGAAAAGGATAACAGACTTAATAGAAAAGCAGCTGCAGGAAGAGGTAAAAAATAATATAGGTTGAATTAAATTCACATTGTCAAATGTAATAGTCAGTAAATTAACTAAAAACGATAAAAAAAAATGTGTTTACCCTAGAGTAAATATTTAAGTCTTGTTATGTGTTATCACGTTCACATAGCGTAATTGAGCTAGTACAGCACTTATTCAAGAGAAGTGTATTTTCAAGAGCAGCACATATTATGTATGTGTTACAACATTAGTGTGATTTTATTTATTAGTTTGTCAAAAGCAAAATATAAAGGCATAATGTAATATATGCTCTTGATTAGGCATTGCAACGTTCATGCAAAATTGAACGTATCTCTAATAAACGCTGCGCCAATAGATATATGTTTGGTGTAGCACTTTGAGCAAGGCACTTATAAGATCATTTACAGTCTTTCTTTTCTTGTAGTTAATATAAAGCTTTAGTTCACATAGATTATTATTACTTGTTAAAGTATCAACTAGTTGATAAAAACTGAAACCTCATATTGGGATTTAGTTTGTGTAAAGCATGATGTGTGTATGTGTGTGTTGTATGTCATGGACTGTTTTATGTGTACTGGGCCCTCTGGGAGAACAGTAATTTGTTACTGAAGAGGAAACCCAGTATAAAGAACAAATAAATAAATAAATGAATATTATATTTTTTTTATCTATACCAATAGAAAGACATAGTGGCATTGAAACCCAATTCCAAGAAAAATCCAACCAAGATTAATCTTCCTGGAACTCCGAAGACCCCTCAGAGCAACCTGGTTCATTCTCAAAGCCCAGTGAAGGCTGACACACCAGTATACAAAGCTACAAATCCAGGTCTGGAGCCCAAACCAAAGACACCAACCTCTTACGTTTATCCAGGTAAGAATCATAAAATGACAGACAAACAGGATGTTAATGCGTATAATTATGCTGATTTGTGTGTTTTGTAAAGGCACACATGCAAACACAATATTGAATGTATAATCAATGAAATATTGGTGAAAACCAAAACATTATAAAAATCAATATAGATTGACAAGAAAAACATGATTTTGATGTTAGTGTTTAGTATTGTTTTTTTTTTTTTTTTATTATGATTCTTGTATTGTTTTTATATATTTATAGTTATTTTTTCTTAATATTGCTTTTATATATTATTTTACATTTTAAATTATGATAATATGTTGTATTTTAAGTTATGCTTACATCCTAGACTAGATTTTTTTACACAGATGCAATAAAAAAAAAATAATACAAGCCCTGAAAACCACAAAGATGATGCATACTTGAACTTGTTTTGTAATGATTTTACAGTATATTAGTGAATAATTTGCAAATTAATATTATTCAGCTGAGAATAATTTTAGTATTCAGTATTCTATTATTGTCACTGTAAACATATTACATAAAAAATGCATTGCAAGGATTGCTTGTGAATAAGAAACAGCAGTGTAAGGGTCGGCTATGTAAATAATGAGCATTGCAAGTGTTGGCTATGAATAAGAAGCATAATATAAACCATAAAACAGATGAAAATATTCTCCACTGGACACCATGCCGGTATTTATAATTCTAGGTTTTGGGGCTGAAATTCATATACAATAAGGTGGCATAAACTACATGTGTATAAAAATATCTCCTGTCTTACACCATCATAGTATTTTTGAGTAAATGTTTTGGGGCCGGAATTGCATGTTATTACTGTATACTACATTTATTTGTTTAAGATAATCTTTGTGCATCTGGGGAATGGAATGTTATAATGCTAATAATATTTTCCTCTGAATTGCATGTAGAAAAGTCACCACATGGTATCCTAAAGCCTGGACTAGGCAGTGCCAAGAAGAAACGTGTTATATTTGCTGAAAGTGACGATGATGGCAGTTGTTCAGATTCATCAACCTCACAACTGATGGAAATTGAGGTAGGCTACATCCGTTCTCTCTTTCACTTTATGATATTTTGTGAGGGTGCTTACTATTTGCAATTTACTGTCCTGTATACCAGTGGTAAACAGCTGGTAAATAACATTTTATAAAAGAAGCATACTGAGTATTTGTTATGTTTTGTTATACTTTGATTAATATGTCCACCTCCGCTTAGACTTTGGCAACAATCTATGAGATCCTGATAGTATTTTTATTTCCTATGGAAATATGATTATTTGTGATTATGGTTTTTTTGTGGAAAAAAGCAAATAGTAAAATTTCAAGAGGGTCTGAAAATTGATGAAGGGTGTGAGACATAAAGGAAATTAATAGAATATATCTTTAATGATATTAATAACTTGATACAGAAAAATATAATTAGGTAAACAATAATTGTTTGTGCTCAGAGACATTTGAAAATATTTTGTTTTAACTTTAGGCCATTGTTTACCCTCATTCACCCCTTGCATTTTGGTTAGCAAAATGATAAGCATAAGCTTAACAAGGGCCCTCTAAAAAGTCATAAAAGTTTATTTCTCTCTCTATTTTGAGGAAAATAAATGTACTTTTGATTTTCAAGATTTTAGGTTGATCATGCTTGGGAAACGTAACTTTTTTTTGCCTTATGATTTGATACATTGTAAACAGTTCATTAATTGGACTGATAAATGTAATTCTGAGGGGAAAAATATTTCGTAGTGAATTCCATAGTTGTGGCAGACAGGATAAGAATAAATAAAACATTTAATTTTTTATTATTTGGTAAGTTTTCATAGTGTTTAAATAAGAAACTATTAGGTTCTGATATATCACAACCTAATCATTTCTGATTAGGTTGTGATACATCAGTTGGATCGAAAGCTATTCAAACTGTGGCTTAGCTGTTTTAGGCACTCAGCTTATTGAATACTTGGTAGTTAGTTGCTCAGTAACGAAGCAACGTCACATATTACTATTACAAAGCAACATGGTTGTCTATACAAAAAGGTTTGAGCAAGTGGCTGTAGTGCTGCTGGATAATTAAAGCAAGGTGGCCTAACCAATATGTGTGACCCTTGAATTAATGGATTTCTTATTAATGACACATTATTACTAAGGTTTTAATCCTCTTATTAGCATTTGAATAAGCAATGATAGCAAACCTACCACATTTTGTGCATTTGCAGTAGCATACATTCACAGCCTCTGTAACAGCTCAAGGACCAAAAACTTGCACATAGAAAATTGATGAAACTAAGAAAACTAACGTTTAATATGTGTTTTTTTTTTGTTTTTTTATCTGTTAAGGGTCCATCCATATATTTTATGGTACAAAATATTTGTCATCATTTCATCATACAAGACATACACTTTAGGGGGAAAGGAGGTTGAGAGTGTAGCGATATGTACCCTTGTATAAAAAAGATACAGTAAAATGATGATCTCAAAATGACAAACATTATCATTTTCTAGGCTTGTTTGCATGAAAAGCTAAGCAGGAATTCTACATCAAGTGCACAGCCCCTGTCGGGGAGAAAAACCACAATTCGTCTGGGAGAAAAAAAAATTCCAAAAAATTATATGTATTTTTTACATATTAATAGACCCTAAAATCGATTAAATAAGACTTTGGAAACCTCTAAATTGCCATATTTTTGGGGACATGTCCCCTGGACCGCTTTCGAAAGGTTTTTAGTGACGCCACGGCCACATTTTTTTCTTCCCCCCCCACCCCCCTGTCAGGGACCTTAGGGACCCCCCATCGGGAAAATCCTGTCGCCGCTACTGCAACAAATAATACTATTGTTTTTTCCCTCTCTTATAGATTGATGATGTACCACGTGGTACAAAAGAAAAGAAATCAAGAAGACCAAGTCAAAAGGTTACACCTTTGCGAATCCGACCATCACCAAGCATGAAAATCCCAGCAAGTGATGCTTTTGATGAAGCAAAAAGAAATGCACTTAAGCCAGTACCCAGGGGTCAAACAATCACCCAGCAAAGAAAGGTGTTTAGTAGTAACATTTAAAAAGTACAGTATCTATTTTTTTGGAAATCGGTCTTAAGCCACCCCTGTCCAAACCCAACAATGGACAATACTATTGTAAGGTGGGGGTGCACAATGGGTTTGTCTTGATGTTATATATAATATTGTACACAAACTTATCCTGTCTGAAGTTGCAATATTCAGAAATTTATCAATACCAATATTTCCAGTGTTAGAAGCAAAATTGCAACAGAGCCTTATTTCTTCCTTCAGTATTTGTTTATAATATTAAATTAAATGACACAGTGAAGATGAAATATGATAATTTTATTTGTTGTTATTCAACAGAATCATTTCCTTTAATTTGTCTTAAATGGAATATAATTATCTTATTTTAGAGAGAGAAAAAAATTGACTACATTATTTCCCACTGACTTCCAGGTAAAATTCCAAGAAAATTCTGGAAAGTTTGCAGTTGAAGAAAGTCAATGGCATCAGTGTTATCCAGGATTACCTGTGGATGGTGCTAAAAAAAACAAGGTGGGAAGTTGTTGCAAATCACAAATTGTGTTGTTGATTCTAGATTCTAGACACATTTAATGAAATCAGCTAGTAAATGAATCAGTATATCATATATTACATTCATTTTCATAATGTCATCGTTGTCGTCGCTACCACCACCACCATCACCACATTGTAAAATCATCCTTATCATTGTCATCACTGTAATCGTCATTATCATCACATTATTATCATCGTCATGGTCATCCCAAAATCGTTATCATCATATCCATCATAATGTCATTATCACAATCACAACAAACAGCATTATCATGAACAACGTCATCATCATCATCACAATCATCGTTATTTATTTTCATTTTTTATTTTCCTAACAATTCTGTGCACTTGTTCTATTGTACAGTCTATTCTTATTAAACACTATTAGGTATCAAGCCAAAGAAAAAAATCATTACACAAGTGATGCATTCTTGTTTGGCTCATTTCAGTTTTGTATTGTACAGTATTACCACGGAGCATAGACCTTCAAAATTACTTGATTTAAAAGTTACATGATTAGCATATTTCTATGTGTACACTGTGCAATATATTACAATTATATTATACAATTATTGTATTACAATATTTATTTTTACATTTAGAATGCATCACAGAAGAAAGAACCAATAATGAAAGGATGCATAAAGAAGACTCCCAATAAAAGTTACATGATTAAAGGGTTTGGAGACGGGAAACCTAAAGCTAAGAAGAAAAAGAAAAATGCGGCACTGTCTGAAGATGATCACATACCATGGTTTGATTCAGACTCGGTATTTGGTTTTTTCGATGAATGAATACAAATAATTTTTAATCTAACATAAGGTAAGTTATTATTCCTTCAAAATAGATAAATTCAGTGCAATATGAAATAACTGAAATACAGTTCTCTGTATGCAATTAAATGTTTCATCTATTATTTATAATAATGTATTGATTGAAAATACATGAAAATTGCATAATTTGATTAGTCCTAGGACATAAAGTTATTCTAAATGTTCTCAGTAAAGACAAGCAATTATTGTTGCTTTCTTGCTATTAATGATTTGTTTTGAAGTGTTATTTATTTAAACATGATGTTATTTCTGACAGAGTTTGTTTTTGTTAAGTTCATTGACAACACAAGTAAGTTGTTCGATAAATAATTATTTAATAACTTGACACCCTTTTGAAATTTAATTACAAGCGTATTGGATTCAGTATTTACAATTGACTATGTAAATTACGAATGTAATGCTATGCAAGTTAATGAGTGCTGTATAGACCAAAGTGGTAAGAATACAATTTTAGAATGGGAAATTCTGTGCAGTTTAAATCACTAAAATACAGTTTGTGCAATGCAATTTATTGTTAAAAACCAAACATTCATAATAAAGTAATGATCCAAAATACATGAAAATTACATTTAATTAGGTTGGTATTAATCTATTTTTGTTTAATTTTGTTTTCATTATAATGGAAATAATAATAATGAAATATTGATTTTGAAATCAAAATAATATATTATGTACCCGGTTTTTGCTCAGTTACTCCATAATTTAAAAATCAAAAAGATGATGTTATCTGACAAGGTATTCTTTTTGTCCGGTCAGATTTATAAAGGTTTCTGAGTGAGAGTGCAGGTTGTTCAATACAGAAGTATTTAATAATTTGACACCATTTTGAAGTTTAATTAGAAACGTGTTGGATTCAATAATATTCACAATTGGCTATGTAAATTAAGAATGCAATTCTGTGCAAGTTATTGAATGGTGTGTAGACTAAGTCTGAGAAGTGGTACTTTATGTCAATATGATTGTTCCAAAGTGCAAACACTGCATTAGCTAAGAATTATTATGCAGCTTAGTATTTCCACATTATTGATTAATCGCATGCTTCTGTTGGTACCTAGTTGATAGCTAGGATGCCTCAGTATCGAAGACAAGCATTATTATAATATTTAAGATACCATAGGTGTTAAATAGAAGTATTTTATTTAGGGATTGTGCAATGAATATTTAATAAATATTTTATAATGGACTGTGACACAACATCTGTACTTTTGTACTGTATTCTAAAACTATTTAAACAAAATATCTGTACATGTTTAGCAAAGTTTGGTTTTCAATAAGTACACGCAACATGATGTTATCAGTATAAACTAGGACTCTCCATTTTTCTGAATGTGTTTAAGTTTATGCACAGCTTAAAGAGAACAACCTTTATACCAATTCTTTAAGGCAATTTGCAGTGACCGAAATACAGCATGCAGTTGCTTGTTCCGTCCACTATATTATAATACAGTTTAGATGTAAAGTGCATAACATCACCTTTTTATTAGGTTAACATTAATGTATTCTCAGTTAAAAACAAGTTTTCATTGTTGCTTAATTTGTTCCTCATTGATTCTGGTAAATTGTTATTATTGAAATAAAAATTAAATGATGTTATGTGACAGGTTTTGTTATTGTTGTATTCATACAGCTCTCAGCAGACCGTATTTCAACTTGAAAAAGCGACTCAATAAAATCTGTTCATATTTTATAGCTTTTAATCATTCCAAGTCCAGCATGTTATACAAAGCCTTTATCTTATAAAATACTCAAAAATTTCAAGACTTTATTTTGTTCTTATAGATGTTAATTTATATACAGTATTTATTATTACTCCTATGAAGTGTAATCCTGATGGTGGCAAATACATTTTTCTCAGAACTATCATCCTACACTAAAAAACAAAATGTATCTTATAGTGTAATGCTGTATCTAATTTATTATGATTACAGTATCCTTAGTTCTATACCCTTTTATTTTTAATCTATTGATCTATTATTAAATCCCCACCTTTCTGAAAATTGTATAAGCTGTATCTTTGGTTAAAAACATCTCAGAAAAAAAATATTGCTCTAGAATGCCTCATTTTCATTACCATTTTCAAAATACATAAGTATTTTTTTTTTTTTGGTTAGCAGCTTCACAACATGACAAAACAGACACGATACTATTTACATAGTAAAAATGGACGGCCCCATGATTATTTTAAACCATCATTAAATTGCATTGTCTTCTTTGAGAGGAAAACCAATTAATATATCAAAAACAAACAATATACTGCCACATGAATCCAATTTTTGAATTTCTTAATTAGTACATTTCAATCAGTTACTGCTAGCTTTCAACATAAAAAAATACTCTACCAATTAATGGAACATTAAAACATTATGATTCCTATACTTTTAGCATACCTTTAAATTTCTGCCATAATTTCATTTTGTTAGTAAAATGCCTTTTCAGTCAGTCAAAACTTAATTTTTTGATCTGTGACTTACTGAAAGTTGTTAATTTGATTTGTGTGATTCATTAATAAATATAATTTGTGTAATTTTTTTGGGTGGCAATATGTTTAATGAAATTAAAGTGTGAATTAGTTAAATACTATACCGGTGTAAAAATATATTTCCTCCCACTTCCCCTTCCAACAAACTTTATTGAGAAAATTCATCACAGCAAAGACAGAGAAGAAAAATATAAACATTTTTTTTCACTTGGTTTTTATACTGTTTTACTTTTTTAACACACTGAAATATATATATTATTTTACAATGAATGCTAATATTGTTCCTTTTTGCTCACAATTCCAATTGTTACATAATGCTTACACCAAATATTAAAAGTATAACATTTACAATTTAAATACAGATAAAATTGTAACAATTGTCTACATAAAAAGTTGATTTAATAGTTGACAGGCAGAAGAAACATGTTAGGCATCAACATTTTCGCAGATCATCGGAGTAATGTACTCTGTGTGCCGAATTCCAAATGAACATCGAGGTGCTTGGGGCTTGTTTATGTACACCTGCAAGAAGATGGAAATAAACCCATTAGTATCTGTACATTAACGACACGAACAGATAATGAACATGCAGTGTAATACATTATGTGGCATGTAAAATTGTTTTTTCATTACAAAACGATCAGCCTAAGTGATGCACATTAAGAAAATGGATGTTCAAATAGACCATGCAGTACAATAATGAATACTAAATTAGAAAAGTAATGACATATAAATACCTATAGTATGATAGTAAAAATAAACATCTAAAAATTAGGGTAATGAGTTCTAGATTAGTGTTAGCTGGTTAGTATGTATGGTACACTTTTGTATCCAGGACAAAACAAGCATGCAATATGTTAAATTGAGTACCAAGTTTTAAGCAACATCATGCTACAAATTTCTGTGATTTTCGCAGTGCTTTAACTTGCAACCTTTATGTAGGGATCACAATTCTATCTGTCCACCATGCCTGTTTTCTTGGGTAAAGTACTTTATGCTTATCTCCAAAGAATATAGAATGAAAAGAGGTGTGACTCCTTTGAAATGCAATCCAATCAAGTACTACAAGGACTTCAAGGGTGTCCTTCAAAAGAGATGCACTACAACATGTACAAGTCACTGGTATCAAACGCATACTGCATACAGAATGCCTGTTCGAATAGTATTTAAACTCTCTTTGAATTATACGTAGTGTCCGCTAACTTGTGGTAGTACTGCGTCTTCCTTTCATTGTGTGCATGTACAATCCAAGGAGAGTCAGACCTCTTTCCATTCTATCTCTATACCCTTTGCTATCTTTCCCCACCAAAAAGAGTGAATTAGATGTCCAAATACTACCCAGGGATTGGAGATAGTTGGTTTTTTATGTAAACTGACCATGGGCAAACTAAAATCCAAATCTCCAATGAGAACTTATAGTGATTGTTGGTTGATACTGGTGTTACACAATATTCCATCATTATAATTACGCTACAAATTTGTTATTATGAAAATTACAAAATAATGGTCGATTCTGTGAAAGAGGACTTGCAAGAAGTCTTCAATACAATCACTTTCAACGCTAATGGATTTCTGTCCCAGGGTATTGCGGGCGAAACTTAACACTTATTTAGTCATTCATTCACATAATATATCTTCAGGGACATCGACAGTTTCAGTATGGTAATTGAGTGATAATGATGTACTGTACATTATGAATTTTGATTCCTCAAGGTATGAAATAAAATGACACTAAACATCTGTTAATGACATAATTCTGACTAATAAGCATGAAATGAAATAAAAAAATTAGTTGTGAGCACTACCCCCAAGCTAATAAGTCAACATTTAAAGCAAAAGACAATGGTGAAAAGAGATATGATAACATTTAAATCCTTTCAGAATCCAATATAAATAAATAAAATAATTTTGAATAAGGATTAAATACTAAGAAACTGACCAGTGTCAAGATTAAGTACCAAATAATAGTATTTAATAGTACAGGATTACTACAATTTCTTTGATAATTAAAATTGTAAAAATTAGAATTTTGGAAAAAAGAATTAACAAATTAGAATATAACAACTACCAAAAAATATTAGAGACAGTGTTTTTTAAATTCTTTCTGAAAGTAACAAATTATTGAAATAATAATAATAACAAAAAATCCTAATGTTTTCTACAAATATTTTTTCTATTATTCATCAAAAATATTTTTAAGATACATTTATAAAATAATAATTAATAATCTAAACGTTTGGTACTGTTAAAAATATTATTCTTAGAAAAATCAGGGGTAATTTTGTCTCAATAAAAAAATATCTCTAGTAGGGAAGCAGCCAATACCAAGATGAAATGAAATAACGATGTATACAATACTATCACCAAACAATAAAAAATATTAGATAGAAATACAGTACTGTAATATGGAATAATCAGTCTTATTCCAAGAATAACTTCCTCTAATAATATAATAAATGTTATAAATAATAATAATAAAAGAATTAATATTATTTTAGGCTTCTGATAAAACATTATTGTTCTTAGGAAAAAATAACTGGTTATCAATGAAAGAATAGCTAGATAGGAATGAAGCGAATACCAAGAAGAAATGAATAGTCATGCATCTACACTACTACCACCAAGGTTTAATTGCAGCACTCAACTGCTTTGGAAAGAACCACTTACAAAATTTCACTCCAAAACCATTAATCTGAACAATCAACAATTAATGGAGCAATATAGTCTGAATGCCTGATACCAAACGAATAAGCAGGCCGACGATTTTTATTTACAGACACCTGTAAAGATCAATTATAAATCATTACTAATATAATATATTTTTAACATAATTTCACACAAGACCTCACAAAGGATTAGTTCAACATTAAGTTGATTACTAACAGTATGTAATCAATGAACATTTGTTGAAAATAGGTTTTCAAGTTTTCTTTAAAAAAAAAGCTGTGAATAATATGTTACCATATACAATATTAAAATGATAGATTTATCACTAATTACTTTGTGCATGGATGGATGTACACCCAAGTTGGCTTTTTGTTGTTCATGCTACAATCTTAAATATTCAGGTGAGTAATGCACCCTTTAAAAATAAAAATATGACAGTTTGTCACATTGAGGTAGATTGTTAAAGGATGGCACACCAGCAGTGAGGAGACCCAACATGCTTATCTAATGTGTACAGTACACGTTACAGTAGTTTACCTGACCAAGTAACGTATGCCTAGTAGAGTAGCATCCAGGCCGACTAGGCTTAGGCTCTAATATCGTTTCATTGAGATAATCTAGGGCATTCAAAACTACAGAATCAGCATCATATGGCAGGCTTATCAGATAGGCCAATGTAGTGATGTCTCTTCATTTTTGTAACACATTGACACTTCTAGCATGTGTACACACAACAGCACAAGGATGATAAACAAAGGGTGCATGTAAGCACAATTTGATTTGACATAGCTTATCATTTCATTGTTTGTTTACGGCGCATATTACATATTCACTTTCTTAAAAAATACAATAATTTATACTTTATTATTTAGAAAAGCATATCAATGTATGTATCTACAGTATATGATCAATGTAGATTATTCAGGAATTCCAAATCTGTGAAAGCTCCGCAAATGAGGAACATCTCTTCTGGATTTTGGGACAGAACTGAACAATAAATAATTAATGGAGCAATTTCATAATCTAAATGCTGATGAGTTTGATTTTCAGACATATGTAAAGATTAATTACAAATCATTACTTATAATTATAATTTATAATGCTGTATACGAAATAGCTACACAATATCTCAATCTTTAAGCAAGATGTTTATAGAATTTGTAACAAAAATTAGTTATTTTTTTATATTCTTAAAATCATACCACAATAAGACAGTACATATTGTAATGTAAACAATAATTAGTTTTAATATTATTTAGAAATATTTGAACAGTAAGTCTCCAAAAAACTCTGAAGATGAGGTATACAGTTATCTTCACCAAACTTTTGAAACAAACTGAAACTATTTTTGGATTTCAAGAAATCTCCTGGATTGTCAATATGTTCTTTAATTTTGTTCAATACAGGACGACCACTTTGTGATGGCTATCTAATTTTACCTCCAATGTTTTAAAGCCTTGTTTGCTAAATAAATGTTCCTTTTTTTGTTTTATTTGTTCATTAATTTTTTTATTCACATAATCATTAACAAATGTTCACAAGTTATGTTTCACATGCAGCCAGTCTATATGCCTATATTTAAGACAGACATCATCATAATTTGATCTTGACCAGTGGGAAGAGATCCAAGAAAATTATACCTGAAATTCAATTTAGAATATCTAGAATATTTTAACAATAAAAAAAAAAAACAAATGACAATGACAAACCTTCTCTGGACTGTGGGCTCCTGGTCCAGGTTTCCTCGTTGAGTCACTTGGCAATTGGTTACGGGCAGTCATTGAGTAGAGAGGGGCTTTGGTTTTGTAAATACTTGGATCTGATACACGGTACGTTCCTGGTCCTGGCGTTCCTTGTAAATCTTCATCAAAACCACCAATCTTACTTCTACCAGTTATCGAAAATACTGGATATGAGCGCTTTGCAACTGATTTTCCACCCAATATTGAAGGAAGCATGTACGAATTTGGAGCTGTGAACAACATTTATAAATTTGTTACTATAACAATAAAAAAATATAGCTATTCCTGATCAATGTAAACTGAATTCTTATTTAATTGTATAGTGATTGGCAAGCAGAAATAATATGGATAATCGTCCACCGTTTGTTTACGGATATTAAGTATGGACCATTAAGCACCTAATAGTACAGTATTCATGAAATCATGGCCAACACAATAATGATCTCAGATAATTATAATTGGATGTAAAGCATATCAAATTTCTTTTACAATCAGTTTCTGTGTTAATTGATACTTGAAAAATCAACAGGTCATAAAATTTAGTCAGTTCTTAAAAATGTTGTTGTTATCTACTGGATATTAATTTTAAAATACTTGAAAATATGAACAATGATAAATTCATTTCTCTAAATGTGATAAATTTCTATATTAAACAGAGTATCTTACCAGGCGATTTGTCAAATTTAGATCCTTTTGTTCGTGAGGCTAGTGAATAACATGGTGCTGAAAAGTGTGCAGATTTTCCAGCTTGTTCTGGTGAATAAGTTCCGGGTCCTGGAGTACTGAATGCTTTTTGGTCTCTTGGTCGGCCGTACAAAGAGTAGTGAGGCTCTCCACTTTTGCCATTTCGGCTGTATCTAGAATCGACAAGGTAGGCTGGGCCTGGGCTGCAATCATCATAAAATTTATGATGACGAATACCAAAACTAAATGCAGCAGCTTGATGTTTTGTCTTGTCATGGAAATTAATACCTGTTGATCCCGGCAGAAGGTACCTTCCTGGTCCGGGGCTGTTAAATTTTGCAGCAATAAGCTGACGAGGGCGTGTTGGAACCCAATCTCCACTCATTATTACTTAATAATATTTTGTCAAACTGAAAAATGAAGAAAAATTACAATGCTATTGTTGTTAAACAACATAATGGGACTGAATTCATAAAGTTCACATTGAATATGCGCAATAAGCAACCAAGGGCGGGATCAAAAGCCAGTGAAAGACAACTGAACCATAATCTTTTTTTCTGGAGAAGTTAGTGGGCCATTCTTAGCCATAGTGTAAGTTGAATAAGTAAGTATGATCATGTGAATAGGAATTTTTCACTGAATCAGATCCCAAGCCTTGTTGTTTTGTGCAGATTTTAGTACAGTTTCATTTTCCTTGTTCCTACTACAGGCCCATAGCCAGCTTCAGCCAAACACATCTAGATGTGTATAAGAGACAGGGTTCAGGGCATGAGGTCCAGGTGCCTGCCTAAGGGCGTAGGATCAAGGGGGAAAAGCCCTTATGGGGCGAGGGGAAGCCCCTGAAGCCGGAACTTTTTTGCACTTTTAAAGCATGTATATAGCATATTTAAATACTTCTTGTGGTTTAAAATGTAATATATTTTTGTAACTATCTAATGCAAGGGAGAAGAGTTCTAGTATGCAGGAGTAATAATGATCACTTCTTTTCAACACAGGATTTCAAGACAGTGCACAGTAAACACTGAAATTAGTAAATTTGAACATCAATATATATTTTCTGCTAGAAATCAATCTTATACCCCATTCAGACTAGCATCGCATTGCGATCGGTTGTAGCAATTACGACACCCAATTGCAAAGTAAAATCGTGTGTGAAAGCTCACCAATAGTAGTCAATATGTAATCGATATCGCAATTGTTACCCGTTGCGATTGGGAGCTACAATCTTTAATACTCCCGATTACCACGGAATCTGATCGCAACGAATCACAACGAATTCTACAGGCACTGTTTGCCTGAGGTCAGGCAACATAGGCCTAGACACCAGAGGCCTAGCCCTAGAATGTAAAGTTTGTTTGTGTTGGTCTGAATGCGTTCGTTGATTGTGATCGGGAGTAATCAGTTTTGGACTACCACCGATTACATCGCAACCGATCGCAAGAGAGCATAGTCTGAATAGGGTATTACAAACTACATAATAATAGCAATGTAATTGCTTAAGTCACAATTTGGTTTGCTTGTTAAAGGGGGTTCGATTGTCAAAGGGGGGTTCGGTTGAACCCCCAGGAACCCCTGGCTACGGGTCTGTACTATACCATTTAACAATAATATTCATGCAACAAAAGTATAGGCCTATGATGGTACTGAATTTAGCTATGCTATAGCATGGCTGGCTTAAATAACATTAAAATATAGCCTAATTAATATAATAATATTTACTTTAATTATTATTTCATCATTTAGTCTGATGCAAATTTAATTATTTTATTTGTGTCTAACCTGTCATAAAAATGTATGCATTCTTATTGTGTATGCCTACAATAACCCTGGTCAGTGGTATAGATATAGTATAAAGAGTAGATCGAGGATATAAGATATTTCCCCAATGGAAATAAGTTTTATATAGGCCTATGTTAAATTTTAATATTCTGTTTTTTTCGAGGGGCCTATAAGCATCGTTTTGCTTGGCCTCTATACCCAGGAGGATCAGACTGTAGAAGACTCTCTTGGGATACAAGTAAACAAGTGAAGTAAACAAGTATTGTAAAACTTTCTTGGGTTACCATAGGAATTAATGTCTTATCTTGTTCTTTATCATTTATCTGTTCTTTGTATTTGTTTTATTTTCAAGTAATCTATGATTTTAATTCCTGAATAAAATTAAATGAAATAGTAGCAGGAAGTTGTGAACAATTTTAAAGTCACACGCAGCCCCTCTCTAGAGAACTAGGCTAGGCCTCCTCTCCTCCTATGCTGCGGCTTAAACCTACAAACAACAGTAACTGCGAGCGGTCATTACTGCTTTTTTAGAGAAGAAATAACATAAAAATATCAATCCATTTCTTCAACAATCAATTGTGAATCTACTATTGCTATTTTTAGCTTAAATTTATATGATTAAAAGCAGTTAGAATGCGAATAAACGACTGGAGTACGATCTTATTACACAGTTGTCTAGACGGCGTGTAACTAGATCCAAACCTCCGCCATGCCTCGATTCACCCACCCACGATCCTCACACGAATCTTTTCATTGATTTTGAAAGTCTATCAAACTACATCACTAAATTCACGTTAGATATACATTTTGGTCATAATTCATTCTCACAGTCTAGATAATTTAATTAAAAACAAGATAAAAACTCACCAAATGATGATCGGTACAATTAATAATGTCCACGTACTGTCCGCCTTCCGAGAGATCAACAACTATTTAACAACAACTACCCGAGCGATATCGACGTGTATCTAGGCGACCATAGCAACAAAACAAGAGACCCGTATCCAACGAAATTTGTCTAGCTCCGCCTTTTACAGACTAGATGCGTACGCTGATTGGGTAGTGTGATCACATGGTATGTAACGGTCATTTGATTGGTTAGTAAAGTATGACACACTTGGGAACTTTTGTTTGAGGTTGTTTATTATAGGTACCAGGGAACAGTGAAATTAGTGTAATTTCACCGTTCCCTGATGGGCACGGAACAAAATAAGAATGGGCAGGTTCTAAAAAGTGCATTGGCCCATGTTCTCGAAAGTGGAATAAGTTAGTTGTGTTTTTAATGGAGAATGCTGAGAGGGCATAACATTAATACTTATTATTAATCAGAAAACCCCCACATATTACTATTAGTTAATTGTTTTCATGTCCTTATTTGAACTTATTGTTTTAAGTGTTTAAATTTAGAAACAAATTAAAACAATAAAATACCATAAATTTTTGTTTGTGAAATGCGTTTAAAATATGTATTTCACTCTGAAATGCTAGTTCATTATACAACAAATAATAATATTTTTTTTCCCAAACATATTTAAGGTGTAATATGTTATACATGTAATGCAATAATAATTGTAGGGTATCTTTTTTATTTATTTTTTTTAAATCTCGGTAGAAAATTAATAAATGAGAATAAGATTAGACCTAATAAATGAGTATATACAAATCAATCATTGAGGCATTAATTTAAATTGGCAATAAACAAATTACAACGGCAAAATACAATATAGTTACAATTAATATACAAAAAAGTAGTAGTTTTTTTCCATGGAACCTATTTCTGATTTTTTAAATAATAATAATAATAATAATAATAATAATAATAATAATAATAATAATAATAATAATAATAATAATAATAATAATTTAATAGTTTCATTTTTCTTTCTTTTCTTTGTCTTTTTTATTATCTTTATTTCTTTTCATTACTTTCCTTTCTTTTGGCCTATCTTTTCCTTTCTAATACATTTTCCTTTCTTGTTCTTTCTTTTCCTCTTCTTACGTTTCCTTTTCCTTTTCGCATTTCTTATTCTTTCCTTTCTCTTTCTTTACCAGTTCCTTTGTTTTTTCTTTTCCTTTTCCTTCTATGTCTTTCAATTTCTTACCTTTCTTTTTGTTTCTCTTCCTTTACACTTTCCTTTTCCTTTCTAATTCATATTCCTATCTTTTTCTTTTTTCTTTCTTTTTCTTTTCTTTACCTTCTCGTTTTATTTCTTTTTCTTTTCCTTTCCTTACCTTACCTTTTCATTTTCGTTTCCTTTCTTTACCTTTTCATTTTCTTACGTTTTTTTCCCCTTTAACTTTCCATTACATTTTCTTTCTTTTTCTTTTATATTGAATGTGACTCTACGACACTGAGTGAGCTTTATTGATGGAAATGATGCTTATAATGATGCTGATAATTTTAATGATTGTAAGGTACATACATGCGCATGCTGGGTTTGTATAGATTATTGAGTTAATAATAACAATAAAATTGCGTACAAATTAATATTAATACATCGCACGAACTCGCATCATTCATTGTAATATAATTCATTTGAATTTCTTAATTTTGTAAACAAAGAATAAAATACATCTGAAATACAAACAAAATATCTCAAATAAAATGAAATAATAGGCCTAGTATAAAAACAGATTGTCAGAGAAATAAAGGCCATGAGCACATCAGCTGACTTAATCCCAAGAATGTTTCCAGATTAAATTCATAGTACTGAATAGAATTTAATTATTTGTTTAGCTGTGATGTATTTGCATAAAGCCATAGAAATATTTTCTCACATACTCCATAAAAGGATAATACAAATTTTTATACTAACCAAATATAGCTGACACTATCAGATATCATGGCGTGGCAAATTCAGTATACACGCGTTATACAATATAACAAACTTTTTTTTTTCAAGGTAGGTATCCTTACTATAATTTGACCAGCACATGGTGCAGCACATATCTATAAAATAGGATTTAAACCGCATGCATCTTACATTGGCGGAAATGTACTAAACTTCCTTGAACATAATGACATTAGACCAAGGTACACCAATACGTACCGTATTGATTTCTAATGTATCATACTCAAGAAATGTAATTTGACTGTCTTATCTATGAAATACTGTTTATCAGACAACTAAAAGCAAGTCTGAATAAATAATGTGACAAATAATCCTCTAAAGCTAAGCTCTTTATCAATGGTTGTATCCTGTGTTCAGAGAATTAAAATAACCAATGATGGATTTGAAACGTCTTTTCTTTGAAGTTCTTTTAGTAATACAAACAATTATTGATAATAATTGAAAATAATCTTATTATTATTATTATTATTATTATTATTATTATTATTATTATTATTTGTTGTTATTGTTAGTGGTGTTTTTTTCTCCTTCTATAATTGTCAACTGAAAGATAATAACTTAGGGGCCTACACAATTGTATAATCTAGATTTTTTAGGACGTCAACAGACATTGCATTTGTAGTGTAGTTTTCATTAAAAAAAAAAATGCACACGAAGGGCCATCCATAAGGTAAGTGGCTATGAATGTTAACTTAACTGACTTAGGAATACAAAGGATACTATTATGAGACTGATACTAAAACGCCACGGTGGTATTTTTGAATATACATCAACATGTATCATAATTGTAAATGGTATTCCGTCCACCTTTGGGTTTCTCGATTCAATATCTTCTTCTCGGGCCGCGTACTGTGGAGTCTTCGCGTGGGGGCGTTAAATTAATCAATTAAGATCAGCAGACTGGAAAAACCCCAATTTAAATACTGTATATGGAAACAATATGAAAAAGGCGGTGAGGAATAAGTTTAATGATTCCCGTCATAAAGATATACCCTGGCCTACCTTTTATGAGCTTAAAAAATGAAAAAAAAAACAAAAAACAAACAAACAAACAAGCAAAAAAAAAAAAAAAAACAATTCCGTATTTAAGTTAGTTAAAAAGTTGGCGGAAATGTACTAAACTTCCGTGAACATATGACATTAGACCAAGGTACACCAATACGTACCGTTGATTTCTAATGTATCATACTCAAGAAATGTAATTTGACTGTCTTATCTATGAAATACTGTTTATCAGACAACTAAAAGCAAGTCTGAATAAATAATGTGACAAATAATCCTCTAAAGCTAAGCTCTTTATCAATGGTTGTATCCTGTGTTCAGAGAATTAAAATAACCAATGATGGATTTGAAACGTCTTTTCTTTGAAGTTCTTTTTGTAATACAAACAATTATTGATAATAATTGAAAATAATCTTATTATTATTATCATTATTATTATTATTGTTATTATTATTATTATTATTATTATTTGCTGTTATTGTTAGTGGTGTTTTTTTCTCCTTCTATAATTGTCAACTGAAAGATAATAACTTAGGGGCCTACACAATTGTATAATCTAGATTTTTTAGGACGTCAACAGACATTGCATTTGTAGTGTAGTTTTCATTTAAAAAAATACACACGAAGGGCCATCCATAAGGTAAGTGGCTATGAATGTTAACTTAACTGACTTAGGAATACAAAGGATACTATTATGAGACTGATACTAAAACGCCACGGTGGTATTTTTGAATATACATCAACATGTATCATAATTGTAAAGGGTATTCCATCCACCTTTGGGTTTCTCGATTCAATATCTTCTTCTCGGGCCGCGTGCTGTGGAGTCTTCGCGTGGGGCGTTAAATTAATCAATTAAGATCAGCACTCTGAGACAGGAAAAACCCCAATTTAAATACTGTATATGGAAACAATATGAAAAAGGCGGTGAGGAATAAGTTTAATGATTCCTGTCATAAAGATACACCCTGTCCTACCTTTTATGAGCTCAAAAAAAAAAAAAACAAAAAAAAACAAACAAACAAACAAACAAACAAACAAAAAAACAATTCCGTCTTTAAGTTAAAGTACAGTACTGTATAAAAAAAATCCTTATAAATTAAGAAGATATTTTAATACACCTTTATTCTTATGCATAGACCCCCGGTTAAATTGGCTGTGAATTTGATAGTAAAATATCTGTAGGCCCAAAACAGTGAAAACTTTTTTTTTTCAATCTATTTCAGATTGGAAGTTAAGTATTGATCCCTTTTAATTAAACCATTTTAAAAATAAAAGGTAGGCCTGCAGTAGGCCTACGTTATCCATAAGTTTTTTATTGTCGCACTTATTTGACGGGATCAAGAGATTCTTAGACAAATATATCGAGCGTTAGAATAGTGGGGTTAGGTGATGGAGGCCCATAACCAGGTGGTTTATGGGTTCTGGCTATTTCCCCCTCCTCTACTTTTCAGAGAATCCCCATTCCAAAGAACCCATTTTGTCCAGCAACCCCCAACACAACGCCCTTCACTGAAAAAATTCTATAAAACTCAGCTGTTCTTTTTTCTTTCCCTCACATTCAAAATTGCTTTTGTAGGATAATTACAACATAATTATTCTATTCTATTAAGTACGGTACGATTAAAGGCCTTTGAAGCCCTTAGTCTTATTAGGTGCATTGCAATCGCCAATTGAGAAATTAGTTAAATAATTAATTTAAAATGCCTATATAGTATTAGTCTCATATAAATAACTGAAATATACAGATCTAAATTAACGACTGATTTACTATCGTCGGTACTGTTGTAAATTGTTTGCATTTGAATGTGTAAAGTACTCATCATTACTTTTTTATTTGTTGTAAATTTAACACTTTATCGGTACCGGTACGCTTTCTTCTTTCGAAAATAAGTGTTTACTGTAATCTTTAAACTGAGTCTTTTGACCTGGCCTTGTGAGTCATACATATGTGTCATTGGTTGATTACGTACATGTGTGTCACTGCCATCTACGCCCAAAGCTTCTATCTCCTTATATGGTTCACCAATTATGACGTCACATAGTTGTAGGTTACTGATTGGTGAAAATTCTCAATCCAAACAACCGTCGTCACGCCGCGCCATTTTCTGAATGCGATAGAAAAGCCAAGGCGAGGCCGTGTATTTATATGGGATAAAGGTTGTACTGATTTTTATTATAACTTTAAATCAAGACACTGGCTAATACTAGGTAAGGTGGTCACCAAGTCAATGTGACTGATTTTTTAAGATAATGTCTTTGTGCCGTTCACTGGAGATGCATAGATCTCCGACAATTCAACGCCTCACCTTTCACGATAGTGACGGCGAAGAAGGGTCGTGTGATGAAGAAGACGTGCTTAGCTTTAACCCTAGTAGTAATCACCGAAGCCCCCGTGGCCTAGGCCTATCTGTGCGTGGAGGCTCGCTCAGTGGATGTGAAGATGCCAGTTTCACTTCTATACCGAGTTCGGACTTTCTGGAAATGGACACAGCAAATACTTCTTGGGATTCTACTCTAGCTACACCAGAGAGCAGCCCAAGAAGAAGGCAGTTTGGGTCATCAAAACAAGTGGATTTCAGGAATGGAGGAACCCCATGTCGTTCCAAGTCACCAGCCTGTAATTTTGTTGTAGGCCTGAGTATGCAAAGTCCTATGCAATTCAAAACAAATCGTCCATCAACACTGTGTAGTGCCTCTCCCCCAAACAAGGACCTGAGGAACTTAAGGCTTTTTGATACACCTCACACTCCAAAGTCTTTGCTAAGGAGGTCATCAAGATTGGGACTCATTAAAGGTAAAACAAGTAATGGTGGCGGGTTAGTTGGACGTTTATTCAGCGGACGACGGAACAGTCCAAGTATGCAACCACAGACAGTGCCAACAAACAAATCAATGTTTAGGAAACCTCTTGCCAATGTCAACCCGTTCACACCAGATGCAATAATGCAAAGTGTAACCAAGAAGAGACTGAAGCGAGAAAAAAGGTGGGTTAAGTTAATTAAGGTTTCGTAGTTGTATAAATTTAATAGCAAAATAAACATACTTTGTCAGAAGTGTATCAATAAAGATTTATTTACTGTGTATAGTAAATTGTCTATGCTATAATATTAGTCAGTGACAATAACTTTATAATGTATAATTTTCCTGTTTTTGTACATTTTTATATATCATGTATATTTCATTGTATGTTTCAGGCGATGCATTGTCAATTTGGTTGGTCAGAATTGACTGCAAGCACCATTTGCTGTTACTGTAAAATAATTAAAAAATATACAGTATTCTTTTTCACATTTAGGACACTTGACTCAATTATACTGATGATACGTCCTACTGTACTACACTTTTTTTTTTTTATAAGAACACTGAGGCTGAAATTCCTAAAAAAATCAAAAACAAAATAAGAACAATTTGAGGCTGAGGTAAAATGTCAAATGAGATTTTTATTTTTAAAAACTAGAAAAACAAAAATTTTTTCAGGGGCCACTTTTACCTACATTCCAGTACAGTCACGTGTATACTGCTGTACAATAACAATTTTCTATGTTTTAAAAGTGTGTAACATAAGAACATAATAGGAACATTTTCATCCTGAAATCGGCCAAAAAATAAGAACACTAAGCCTCGGCAAAATTTTACTGGTTCCTATAAAATAAAAGTGTAATGACGTATAAATTTAACTGACACTTGCATCTGACAAATTCTGATATACACCTGACAGTTTATTTTAAATAATATACAGTACATTTAATTCACATTTGGAACCAGTTGCATCAGTTAATTATATTCAAATTTTTATTTGTTTGATGGGGCACACCTCCCGTCTTCTAAAGTTTATTGTGAATTCTTGAACTAAGAATTGGTTCATCGGCGATACAGTACACTTAATAGTTTTAATACCCAACTTAATTTAAACTTTTAACACAAAACTATAAATATGGGGGCAGTTCCCAACAGTTGCATCACAGTAAATCTTAATGTAACTGGTCCTGGTTGGATTTGGTTAAAATTGGATTTGTTGTAATCCAGTTGGGTTTGGTTTGAAGTGACCTAGTACCAACTAAGCCAATGCATAATTCAAAGGGTGTAAATAGTAAATATAGTGTACTACAAATTGCAAACAATCTAAATGCTTATAAAAGCAACCAGGTACAGGGTAAAGATTCAATTTGTGGAATACTGTAGACTTTAACCCTAAATAATAATGTTTCAACAGTAATAATATGGTTAGATTAATTTGAGAGTTTACCCATACTATGCTATCTTTGAAGCTTTGCTTATCTTTATCTGTTTACTTTGTAGAAGTGTCCTTGATGATGCTGAGAGTGATTCAGATGATGAAATGGAGATGAACCCACCAAAGGTAATGTAATTATATACTAAATATAGAGGCAGTTTATTGCAATATAGGATAAATGGCACATAGAAAATTGGCATTCCTTGTGAGGAGGAGATTGGAAACACAAAAAATAATTGTGTGTGTAAACAGTAAACAAAGCATTGGATTAGGGAAATGGAAAGAGAAGAAGCTGATTAAAAGAAATTAAATACTGCACTGTACGTATGTAATCATATTTCACAAATAGAATTGTTTTTCTTAAATGCATGGCAATGATGATTGCTAAAGTTGTTTTCCTTTTGACAGAGATTAGCTTTGAGAGAGAGTAACATTTCCAGGTATAAAGAGGAGTTTGTTGAGATGTGCAAGATTGGATCTGGTGAATTTGGCTCTGTCTTCAAGTGCATTAATAAGCTGGATGGATGTCTCTATGCTGTTAAGAAGTCAAAACAACCGCTTGCAGGGTCTGTCAATGAGTAAGTTAATGCATCGCTAAGTTTTAATTAGTACAAAAACAGGTTTTTGTTGCTCATGCCAGAATGACCCAAAATCTGAAAATTCCAGTGTCTCCTTTTCTTAAGATTTTTTTTGAGTGTGTTCTCATCTCAGAAAGTTTAATTATTTTCCAATATAAAAGTTATATTGTCTTCAGTATGCAGTAACAAAGTAGAATAATAATTTTTGTAAGAAATGTTAGAGAATAATTTCAATTATGATTTTATTGCATTACAGACAAATGGCTTTAAACGAGGTGTACGCTCATGCAGTCCTTGGCACTCATAGGCATGTTGTGCGTTATTATTCAGCATGGTCAGAAGCCAATCATATGCTGATCCAAAACGAGTACTGTAATGGTAAGTATTTTTAGATCAGTTCTATAAATACATGAGCACAATAATTTTATAGTTTACTTGAATTATTTAATAAAAATGAGTTAATAAGTAGTGTGTTTGTAGCTCATCCTGGGTTCCTTCTGATCTGTTTTAGTTTGGCTTTGTGCAATTTTTTCTGTAATTTCATTGTTGTGTTGGAAGCATTCAACAAATATCAATTTCAATTCCTTTAGTACTTTTTAGTCCAGGAATATTTGATTCTTATTAGCAGCTGTATAGTTCATTTTTTCCACCTTATTATTGTGGGATTTTCAATTTTGGAATGTCTAACACTGTGTATTTGTCATATTTCTTGTTTACTCAAAATTTCGGTGGTGAAATAAAATTCTTTATTGTGACGGATACAAAAGTATGCCTTTTTGATGAATCTTTTGTTTACTAATTTTAAAATTTATCATGGATCAAAAAACATTTGAAGTGTTACTTGGTATGACATTGTGTAAGTTGAATAGACCGCTTACATTCTTTCTGTGTTCACTGAAATAGTTATTAAATGTTTATTCATACTGTAAGAGGTTATTAACCATCTTTGTTAATTGACTATGAAGTGTTTGAACTTGTTTTTAAGCATGTTATGGTGCTGATTTGGTAGTGTTTGTAAATAGAGTTTGTAGACTTAGCCAGAGGCAATGTTCCTGCTCCATTGAACAATTGAAATTACATTATTTTCACTTGAGTAGTTGGTGAAAATTCCAAGGCAAATGTTTCCATAGTAGTGCAGCTGCAAAGCCCCCTTATGTACTAAACTTTGTCATCTAGCTTATCCCTATCATAATCAGTAAATTTTGATTGGAATTATACTGTATTACACGACTGAACACTTTAAACAATGCATATTATAGGTAATAAAGTAGAACATTACTAGGCCCAGCTGTTGCACAATACACCTGGAATTAAGAGTCAGGTCTCACAGGTCTTAGACCTGTCTGTCATTAAATGTAAGAAAGTCAGTGTACAATTATGAGCCTAAACATAGGATCTGTAACAGCTGTGCCAGAATTTAGTGGTTCAAGAACCTCACTCACCTCCAAGATAACTGTTAACAGCTAACTGCCGTTAGAAACTGCAACAGCTTGTCGCAACTTGGTTTGATGATGATTTAAATCTCAAATTTTTCCCACATGGATTAACCAAAATAACTGTTGATATTTGAAATTTGTTTAGGAGCTTTAAGTCAATCAAAGATACTGTACCTCACTAATTAAAATAAAATAAAATTTTTCTATAATGTGTTATATCTTATATGAACTTCAGTGATGCACAAATGTTTATTTTTAAATTGTTGGACCCATCTTTATTGTCATTCTTTTCTTTTTTAAACATTAAGGAAATAGTTTTTTGATTACTTCCTCTTGGAGGAAGATAGTTTGCACTGTGATGTGCTAAATGATTTTTCTTGTTATATATTATAGATATTTACCAAATTATTTTGACGTTATTTATTGGGTGCTTAGATACTTTACTCCATGATGCCCACTAATTAATATTTAATTTCTAAATTAGTGTTCCCTATGATGATTAAATGCAGATTAAGATACAGTATTGAAACACAAGCTTAAAAACTGATTCCTATATTTTTAAAAGTTTTAGGTCGAAAAAAAGCTTGGGTAACACAAATTTTTATTATGATTTAATTGTTTATAGGTGGCAGTCTAGCTGACGAAATTCAAGCAAGGTATATGAGAACAGAAGATGTAGCAGAGGTTGAGCTCAAACAGCTCCTTTTGCAAGTCACCCAAGGACTTAAATATATACATTCCCAGGGCTTGGTTCATCTTGACATTAAACCAGGTAAATGTTAACATCCGGTGTCTGTTCTACCCATTATCTGAGCCAAACGTAAATATTTAACATAATACATGTATGTACTGTATTGAAAGATGACACAAAATATGATAAATATAAATGATACAGTATAGCATGCAGTATACCAGTGTATACCTACCTACTGTATATCAATATTATATGTTGTGCTTGCTAGACTCGTACAACTTGCATGGTCATATGTTGTATGGAATAGTTTGATTATTATTGAAACTATCCTTTTTCTAGATTTTATTAAACTAAAATTTCAAAGTATAATTGGTTAGTTTGCTAAAATGTTTTTCTATAGAATATTAATAATGAATAAGGCTGTCAAAAATGACCCTAACATCTGTGTGAAACCAATGCTTTATACCTGCAATTGTAAATCGATATTATGATTTACAATGCATACGCGAGGAGAAGGCCTGCTGAAACTGTCAAATTTCACAAGGGAAAATGTACAAACCTCTGCCACTGATTATGATGATATTATATCTCCATAAATTTGTTTGATGATTTAGAATTATATTGTTCTTTATTATTGTAGTTTTTTTTTTAAAACATTTCTTTGCTGCTTTTACATTGGTATTACCTTTAATTCTATAGGTAATATCTTCATCTCGCGTAAAGAAAGAATCACAGGCGATTTTGATGAGAACGATGAGAATTATAATATAAACGAGAGCGAGGGTTTATCTCCAGAACAGATTACTGATAATTATGATGTCGTCTATAAAATTGGTAAGGAAAAATTTGTTAGATTGTGCTGTACAGTAACTTGGTTTGTTGATGTTTCTTGAGTCCCTCAACTAATCTCTTGAATTTTGTTTTACTTTTTTATAGTGTGTTAAGGTCTAATTTTAAAGCCCGAGCAAAAGGAAAATAGTAGAAAGACAATAACAAATTCTTTTTTATTTTGTTTGTTTTCAATATTATTATAGCTGTTTCATTGCAATAAAAATTCTTTGAAATTATGCTGTGTGATGCTCCCAATGATCTATGGGAGATGAACAGAAGGTTCTGAATTTTTACAAGTTGACCAAGCTTGTTGCTGCATGGATTGTTATTGTTCTGATACAATCACTGTTTGAACAGAGAGCAGCAGGTTGATAATGTTCTTTTTCCCACAGCTATTTAGATAATAATAATAATAATAACAATAATAATAATAATAGTAGTGGCGTACTGTCACTCCATTTTTGTTGGTAACTTTTTTGCTGAAGAAAAAATGTGTAAAGAATCTTGAGAGCATCTAAATAGAAAAGAATTGTACATAAATAATCCATGTAAAATCAATTGTCAACAGGGAATGACATGTCAGTCAGTTCCATGTAAGTCTATATTTTTAATACTCCTCTTCCGCAATCTATTACTTGTTTCATTGCCAGCAACTCATCTAATTCTTCTACAGTATATTTATACCAAGAGAAAGATTCTTAAACGAGGTGGATGAAGGCTTGATAACCTAGTACCATGGCTAGATTATGGTCGCCATATCAACAAGTTTGAATACTAGTGGTCTAATACATGACCTCTAGTATTAGATATAAATGCAATAAAATTTGAACATTCAATTTAAAAATCTGAATTTATTTAACAGGTGATTTAGGTCATGTGACCTCAGTTACAAACCCTAAAGTGGAAGAAGGAGATGTGAGATATTTACCAAATGAAATACTGCATGAGGTAAGAATTAAAATATGTATTTTTTTAAAAATTGCTTAATGATGTTAAATTTATGAATTCAGTGTCATAGATGTTGTGTGATGCAAGTGCCATTTTATTGCATTTGATTAAAATATATTTCTCACAATAAATTATCTGTAGGATTACTCGCATCTGACGAAAGCTGACATCTTCTCATTAGCCTTGACGATATTCGTGGCAGGTAAAGGTGGACCGTTACCTAAGAATGGGCCTGAATGGCATTCAATACGACAGGGAAAATTGCCTTACCTTCCACAGTACTCAACCGACTTAAATAATCTTCTAAAGGTAAGGTTCTTCCTTCTATCTAGATGAAAATAGTTTTATTTATTCAACTCTCTTTAATTTACGTTTGAATTGTTAGTTTTGACACCAAGAATTGATGTTAACAATTGGCACATTCAACTTTCTAAATCCACAAACACAGTCTGAAATCAAGGTGTGATATTTGAGAGGACTGTTTAAATTTACAAGATTACTTTTTAGAGAAACATTACTGCGGCAACAAAATCACTTGTACTTTAAGATAGACCATAACACGAAATTGGCTGGCACCTCCACTAATATCATTTTAAGATTACAGAGGCTTCAAAACTGAATGGCTAGGTTGATTTGCCAGGTACCTGTATCAGCAAGTGCTGAACCTCTGCTAAATGAAACACACTGGTTACCAGTAGAACCTAGTGTTAACTAGGCCTACATGCCTTTAAATGTTTGTGAACAACAAAGCACTGTGTTATTTTAAGAATCTTGTTTAAAGTTTGTAAGCGGTAGTTTATGAACAAGTGCTACAAATAATATTCAATTCACACAATCATTAATTTTATCTTTGTTTTATATTTATAGATGATGGTTCATTCAGATCCTAAGATGAGACCATCGGCTTCAGCTATCATCCAGCATCCACTGTTATGCCCTCAGAATGTATCACTTATTAAACTCAAGCAGGAGTTGAACACAGCTAAATTTCAGAATGCAATCCTTTCAAGGTATTGTTTCTATGTTATATTATGTTGTTATGCAACACTTAATTGTGCAAGGGATTTGCCAGAATTTAACAATATGATTGTTTACTTGGCAGTTAAATTGTAAAATCATTACAATTGTAAAAGTCAAAAGCTAAATTTATAGCCCTCAATTCATCTTTATTAATCCCTTGCTCTTCCTTAAAATTCACTCTTCTATTTAGAATTTACCAATCTTATCTCCCACCCACCCTGGAAATATCTACCACCCACCCTTAGTTTTCTACAACTACAACTCTGTTTTTCATATTACTATAATTAAAAGATAATTAAGAAGATTACTTGATGGATATCTAATTAACATTTAAATATCAATTAGTGTGTATTTATTTACAGGGAATTGAATATCAATTTGTGTGTATTTATTTACAGGGAATTGAATGAAGCTCGCAATGCAAACAAAGATGAGAAGACAACTGGTCCTTTCTTTAAGCCCATTGGCTCTGGCTCAAGGAGTTCTCGGCTGATTGGCAAGAAGGTCAACAGAAGTATGAGTGTCACAATATACTGAACCAGTGACCCCCAAGACAAAAAAGGCTGGTGCCTCACCATAAGACCACCTTATGTTCATTATAGAAACTTCTGTAGGAAGGATAATGTCTTAACATTTGGATGAAACACTTTAACTAAACAGATTATTAATACAGTAGTAGATTACTGCTTTTGCCAAATGTGGATTAAGTATTGTGTATGAAATCATAATGTACACAAAGTTTATGTTGATTAATTATTGTTAGATTATGTATTATAGATCACACTTTAGATTAGTGTATATTTACAGAGCATTTTATTGTTGCATACATTGGATTGAACATAGTGATTATAGTTGACTCTCCATTAAACCATTATTTCACATATCCCTTACTTATTAAAAGAATTATACCCTTATATTTTTAAAAAACATGTCAAATTGTAAAGATAGGTTGTTTAGCAATAACCTTAAAATGCTTTTTTAATCAGCATACAATTATTCATACACTTTGTCTGCTTGTTTACCATTGTTGAAAAAAGTGTTTATTAAACACATTATAAATTCCAAGACTTGTAATTTTCAGATGAATTAGTAATTGTAACTTTGGTTATGTGAATAATATTACACTGTTTGCAGTTTTAAAATTAAACCACCATACAGTATTTAGTAGTAATAAATACATACATAACATCTCCTCTTGGTTAATGCTTGAACTGTTAATCTATTTATTGTCAAGGCTTTACCTTTATAATAGTCATTTTTTGTATTTCTACTATCATGACTGTTCATGCATTACACACTTTTAGTGTTATTGGATTTTAAGTTTGTTTTATTTCTATTGTTAACGGTTTAAGCATTTTGTTTTAAAGATTGTTGACATGAGATTATCATGGAATTTTAGAAAACACATTTTAAAATAATATTTTAACCGTTTTAAAGTTATCATTTCATTTGATTTTTCAGTGGTGCTTCATAATTATTTAATTACTATTATTATTATCATTAATTGCATCTGAAAGCTTAACGCTACAGTATTTCCAATTTGCTCTACATTCCAAGTTGTAACAAGTAGTCCAATATTAATTGGTATTGTATTAAATGGATATACAAATTTATAGAGAATCTTACTGCCATTTAAATCCTTAGTTTGTGGCTTTTTATGTAATTCTAAAAGCAGTTTGTGTAGGTGACATGACACCAGTGTCTTGATTCTTATCCACAATTGTCCATACAGTAAACCCAGAGCCCATAGGGCATTTTAAATACCCAACTACTAATACTGTTTTATTATACAATTCCATTTGGGAAATATGTCCTTTCCAATTTTATTGTACTGTAGAACCAATATGTGACAACAATGTGTAATACATGTGAACTTTATATAAGAGAATTGTATTTTCTATGTTCATTAATTTTTATAATAAATCCGATTACTTTAAGGAAATATGTTTTATTGTTTCCCATCCATAATGTTGAGAAACCTCTGTCCTATTTTATTAAAATAGAGTGTGAAAGTGGTACTTTCTACATTTAATAGCTTATAGTAGCTTGTAATTGTTGATAAATTTATAAATAAATAAAACTATATATAAAACTAATGAACATGTCAGAATGTATATTTAGTTTTATATTTATTTCAGTTTTATTTGATAGTCTGTCCAGAGGGCGCTCCCTCCAATGTTCAGGTGCATGCGTAGATATTAATAAAAGGGCAGTTGGCTGAGCATCAGCAGATACACCTTGTTAAAAACCAACAGTTTTTCTCTGAAACAATAACATGTGTTTAAGATATACTGTCTACTATAAACCTGGAACAGTCATTCAAAAAATAAAATAAAAAAATAACTTATTTAAAAGGATTAAGTGTTTACAATAATTATGATATTGTACATGATCTCAACAACTTCAGTTTTTGGGGGTTGACAAACATTTTACTACTGAAGGGTACTCAGGTCTCCCTCTAATAAGACCCCGCCTCCAATTAAAGACAACTTTTCTGTGGTCCTAAATTTGCAAATGTCTTATTCTAATTAGAGACTTTTTAATTAATTAGAGAAGTTACAAGACAATGGGAGTTCCAGAAGTGGTCTTTAATTGGAGGGACACCTGTATTTGTACTGTATTTAAATCCAAACTTAATAATTTTGGCTACTTGCTGGAGTGTTGGGGGG